GCTGGATTATCTTACAGAATTCATTACAGCTTTAAAATGGGTTTTTCATTCCAACAAGGTAAACAGGCAGAAACCTAGAAAAAGTGCCTCTCAATCATTTCTTCATTCAGTAAATTATTTACCAAGTACACACTACATGTTACACGCATGCTAGGTTCTGGATACAGATAGATTCAAAACATGAGATCGTAAATGCATTTCCTCTTGGACCCAACAATTCCACGTCTAGGAATATTCTATAGATATACCTGCAGATGAACAAAATCATTGTGGTCTTGTTTACAATAAGAAAAGAATGGACACAACTCATTTCTTTTGGTGGGGTCTGAGAAAATAAATTATAATACATTGAATAGAATGGAATATAGTTGTGAAAAGAATAAGGAAGCTTTCTATGTATTGATACAAAAAGATTTCGAATGCACTAACTAAAAAGAAAACAAGGTGATGGATAATGTATGCATAGTTACCTTATCTTTAAGAAAATGAGAATATATATATTTGCTTGTCTCTGCATAAAGAAACACAGGAAAGCATACAAGGGATAGCAGGAAAGAATGTGATGGTGAGACATTTGAAACATACTATGTTTTTATATTATACAGGGTGCAGTGGTGCACACCTGTAATCCTAGTGGCTTGGGAGGCTGAGGCAGGTGAATCGTGGGTTCAAAGCCAGCCTCACCAAAAGCGAGGCGCTAAGCAACTCAGCGAGACCCTGTATCTAAATAAAATACAAAATAGTGTTCGGATGTGGCTCAGGGTGGAGTGCCCTTGAGTTCAATCCCCGGTAGCCCCCACCGCCCCACACACAAAAACATTAACTTTACTACTAAACAAGATAGCTCTTTCCCTCTACAAAATAAAAGCTTAAGGAGCACAAAGATTAGTGAAGAGATGGATAAGTACACCAATATATGTAGATATACCTCTCACGAGGAATAGTTAAAAGCCAAATCCAAGGTACTCACTCTGCTCTAGGGAAAGATTTCAGAGATTTAGTCTAAAATCAATTTATTTTTCCAAGGAAACCTGGAGATGGGGTCATTTAAGGTCTTAGAGATTCTTCTAGGGTAGGAATCTTAAAGCAGCAAGTCCTCCCCAGACAGCAAGCACATAACAAACTCTGTGCTGGGTTTCTAACAGCTTGTTTCTTTGTCTGTCCCTCAAGTTGCTTTTAGAGAAACTGTGAAACCCTGTGGTACTTTACCTTCAAACAGATCACAAGACCACCCTGTTCTTCCCTTGACTATTTCAGAGGAGCAAAATAATGCCTTTCTCCAGGGTGTATAAAAACTGCAGAGCTCATTATATCAAATCAGGGCTTTGATAGAGTACACACGAAATGAGTTGAGCTGGGAATGAAACACTGCCCTCAAGGTAAATGTCAGAGTTCATATCGACCCTTCTGAAGTACCAAGAATGGGAAGGTATTTTAAAAGATTTGAGAAAGAATTGCTTTGTTTCTTTTAAAGATGTTCTGTGGCATTTAAACATGTTTTAAGTTAGTCTGGAGAACGGGCACAATAACTTTAGAAAGGAAAATACAAAAAAGTAAGGGGAAATGTAGTGTTACCCTCCACCACTACACTCCCCAACTCCTGCATTACTTATCTTCTAGATTGTTTCTCTGAAGATGTATCATCTCTAGCAGCTGTTATAGTAGGTAAAACTCCTACACTTCTCAGATATTTAAAAGGACAGCCAACTTGACAGGCATACCTAGCCATGTGATCCTACAGGGAGGAAAGGCATCCCTCAGCTGTTAGGTAAACCCACGCTGGGCTTTTGCACCTTCTCTAATAACACTTGAAGATCAGAAGGAGAGACAAGCTGTTAGAGAATACCCAGCATAGGTCCTGGTACCAAAGGAGGAGGAGGAAAATTATAATAACTGCCAGGAATGATGCATTTTTGAGGAAATAATCTTATTGGCAAGTAAGAAAGACTTCTCAAAAGATCAAGAAATTACAGACTTGGTTACATGTGGATGATTTAGTCTTAAATTCCCATCAATAAAAGAATTCTTTACGTGGCACTACATTCTCTCTTACTCTTTTATATTTTCCTTTAAAAAGTTATTATGCCTCTTTTCAGACTTATTTAAAACATTTGTATGAACATATGAACACACTTTAATTCAGGTGGTATCCAGATGGAAAAGGTGGGAGAAGTTAGCTCCAGAAGTTGTAAAAAGGCAAAAGATGTCTCCTGAAAGGTCTATTCATCTACAGTGGTATATGTAAATACTCTAAGTTCAGGTGGAGGCTAAATCCAAATTTCACAAGATTGGCCCAGATGAGAGAGAAAAAGAAAAGTAGTAGCAATTCAAGTAGGTAGACCATATTCAGAGTCAATGTTTACTCAAAAACTTCTAAGTATATAAGCTAAGCTCACAGATCAAGATATTCATATAGACAGAATGAAGCAGTTATAAATCAAAGGTAGAATCAAAGGCTTAGGAATCTGAACAAAAAGCCAAAACCAAGGTTATGATTCATGTCTTAGACTAGCTATTATTCTTAGCAAATATACATTTCAATTTTTTTTTAGGATCCTAAAACTCTGTTGCAAGTTGAACTTTTCCCCTACCTCTACAAAAAAAGACATGTTGCAGTCCTAAACCTTAGAACCTGTAAATGCAACCTTAAAAAAAGATACTATCCAGGCAAAACCTAATCACACAAGTTCTTTAGGAGCAAACAGTTTTCTCCCATTGGTTGCAGAAGACAAAGTCAGAGACTAAAACCATAAAAGGGGATTTTGTTACCAGCCTTAAATGAGTAAGCTTCGATTTTTTTGTAAGACCCTGTGATAAGGCCTGTGGCAAGAAACTGTGTATGGCCTCGAAGAGCTTGTCCTAAATGCCAGTCAGACCAGACAACAGGATGTCAGTCTTGCAATCACAAAGAATGAATTCTGCCAATAACCTGAGGTAGCTTGGAAAAGGATTCTAGCTCATAGTCCAGACCAAACAACACCTCGATTTTATCCCCGTAAAACCCTGAGTAAAAACACTCAGTCACATTCATCTGGACTTCTGACCTAAAGAGCTGTGAGCTAATGAATGAGGATTGTTCTTAAGACACTAGGTTATGAAAATTTGTTATGCAACAATAGAAAACAAATACAATAAGGATTCTAATGTCTGTTCAATTTTATGTGATTGTTATAAGGCTTTAAGAACAAACTTGAAAGTTTTCTATAAATTATCATGCAAAAAAGTCATTAATTATTATCTAGTTAATGTCTAAAACAGAAATCATTTCTCTAAACTATGCTCCCACATCAAATATGCTCATTTTCTTTATTTCTCTGTTTCTATAATGGTACCACAATTATAGGTTTGTTTTACTGAGTTGTGGGTTGGGGAACTGTGACATAGGGGCACTGGGACCTCCAGTAAAACCTAATTGATGGAGGGGGTGGAAAGAGAAGTAACAAGGAAAAAAGAAGTTATCAAAGGCAGTTTCATTAATGAGGTGACATAGATACTAACCTAAAAGACTACAGAATTAATCTGCTTTAGCTTGCAGTGTCAAACAGAAAATCTGCACAAGAATAATTTATGCCACATGTAGCTTATTTACATAAGATAATTTACCAGAAAATATATTCTTAAACATTTCTAGGTATTTGTCTAGAATGTGAGGAGCATTCAAACCTTTACAGGTTCTTTTTATAGGGTTAAGAGGCACTTAGAAGTGTTCAAATAATGTATGTTTCATATAATAAGACAATACAGAGTTATAAAAACAAACATTAATAATACACACCCAATCCTACCTCCCCAAGAAAATCATTAACAGATTAGTGGGCACCCTTTCATTCTCAGAATATAAAAGATTTCCTTCAATTTAAAAAAAAAAATGGAATCATATTCTATATATAACTATATAATTTGTTTTTTTTCTACAACTTAAAAGTACCATACAATGTATTGCGAGCATTTGTCCTAGTCACTTTATATACATATCACATTCTTATTAATAGAAGTACAATTTTTATAATATAGACAAACATAATTTCTCAATTCACTTTAATTGCTTCAAATACTATTATAAATAATGTGCATTCTTTCCTTGTATTTTTGCATATATGCTACATTATTTCCTTAGACTAAATTCCTGAAAGTGGATTTACTATGTCAGTGAGTACATGCACATTACAAATTCTCCTGCATACTCTTCTAGTACTTTTACAGTTTTAAAAAATCTAACTTCATTATTTTTGAGAAGTTAGTCCATTGGCCTAATTCTACTTTTGTGAATAATTTAATGCTACTTACATACAATACTTTTTGCTGATCCATCTATTTGGCTTTCCTGGTGCCAAAACTATCAGTACTACAGCTTTATAATATATGGCACTACAAAATAATGTACACCCTAATTATTCTGTCTTATATCCTCTCAGACATTTATTCTTAAAAATCAAATATTGAATCATTTTGTTAAATTTTTCCCAAAGAACTGTTGAAAATTTTACTAAATATAGGGAATAAATGGGTGAACCTAAAATCTTTATTATTATTTATAAGTCTTTCCGTTCAAACCATCTTTTAATCTTTTGAAAAAGTTTTATATTTTCTCTATGTAGGTTTTGCATACTTCCTTTTAGGTTCATTTCTAAGCATCTTATGTATTTTCTATCAAGTCTTTTAGTTGGTTACTGCTCAAACATAAGAAATCTACTAAATATTTATATTTACACATTGCATAATAAAGATACATAAAATGTATTTTATATTTACATATTTATTGCATTTATATTGTATGTGGATTTCTAATCAAACTTTTAAAAATTATTCATGAGTTTTCTATTTCATTCTTTAGGTAACTATCACCTAATAATAATAATTTTGCTTCTTCTTACAAATATTTACATATTTTACTTTTTTTATTGTATTAATTAGACCTACCAGAACAATACTGAATAGATTAAAATCTACATTTTAAATAGTTTAATACTGTAATATACTTTTGGCCAAGACATACTGACCATTACCATTCTTGATGTTAGGGGAAACAAGATGTGTAGGTGAACTTTTATTTTCAGTGGCTTCTTTCTTCTGGCTAACACTTGAAGCAAAACCGCCCAAAGTGGAAATTTGGCCTTTGGCTCCTCTGTCCAAACCCTAAAAACAAAACAAGTTAAAGTTGTAGCTTAATTTCTATTACTTATGGGTAAGTTATTTTATTGCAGAAATAAAATAACATTTACAATATTTAAATTTGATAACAGATAGATAAAACTGATGTATGTACAACTGACTTACTTTGCTAGAACCAAATTATCTGAAGTACAAAGGAGCCACATAACCTAACTACCTACTAACTGATAAAGCTTGAAAAGGTGGGTGATAACAGTACTTACCTCAGAGAATTATTGTGAGGTTTAACTGAGATAAAGAATATAACTTCTTCCTTGATATCCACATTTTTATTCTAAAGGAAACTTTTCACTTTCATAATGAGGAAGAATTTTTTTCATGTCCTATTACTTCATTTACCATGTTAACTTCTATTTACTTTTTTAGAATCAGCTCATACACCATGGAGCAGAAGCACTTATGCTCACCAAATATTCATGTGCTCTTCCCATGTTCCCCACACTATTCAGAGTCATCTGTAATTCTAACAGGACACAAGTAAAACAATATCTATCATTTATGGGCCAAGAAGAACCAATGCATTTAATACTGGTGGACAAAATATCAGCTCTTCACTTTTCTTCTACTGTGACAACACTGGCTAAGAGTTGAGGCTAAAGGATCCAGTTTGGATACCTCAGTGACTGTGGACTATAATCACTGCTGACCAATATTAGATGATACCATAGTAAACCTCTACAGTTTTCAGACACTGAAACTTGGGGCTAATTTGTAACTCTAGCATAATCTATCATAATTTTGCTGTGAAGCTTTTTTGGTATTCACATTTCTAAAAACCAATCACTCTTACTTATTCTTATAATTTGTTTAAATAATTCCATAGAAATTGTAACTCTTCTCTTTGGTTTGTCATGCTGCATTAGAAATTCCTTATTTATCACAGAGTTTGACATAACAGTGAATCTTGTGCATAGGTTCTGCACTTTAAAGTAAACCCACCTCACTTTTATTTTTTTAAAGAGAATAATATAGAAAAGAGCCCAGAGAGAATAAATTTAAGATACTATACACACAGAATTTAAAAGTTTCTAGACTTAAGAGACTTTTAGAAATCAGTTACTCTTGCCAGGCATGATGGCACATGCCTGTAATACCAGTGACTTGGGAAGCTGAGGCGGAAAGATCATAAGTTCAAGGACAGCCTCAGCAACTTAGTGAGACCTTGTCTCAAAATAGAAATAAAAAGGGCTGGAATTGTAACTCAGTGAAAATGTTATATGCCAGGCTATACGGGCAATGACCAAACAGACTCCATTTTGCCTTGACACTCCATGTCATGTAAGAAATGCTTCTCTTATGGGAACACCCTGTACCAATCAACAGTTGCTTAGCATAGCATGTTTGACAACACAAAATGGCAATTCTTATACAATGTAAAATTGTCCTCTTTTTGGTTCCTATTTTTCTTGGACAATGTACCTTGTCAAAGAATGAATGTCTAGACATTAGTAACCATTCTTTATCTTGTACTCAATTAGGGTTATTTTGACCCACTCCCCCTTCCACTTATGATTTTAGATCTCATAACATTTGTTTATGGTTTTGAATCATAGCAACAGATACTTATGATTAATATAGTTTTGGACTATAAAGGTGTACTCAAACCCTGGGAGGAGGTCAAAGGGTGTAGACTTGTAGCCTGCCCCTTGGCCTGCCCGTTGGTGGATCCAGACCACCAACTGGTGAATAAAAGTTCCATCTCCTGCTTTAAGATCAACTTGGTGACTTATTGTAATCTTGCCATTAACAATAAAGTGCCTCTGGGTTCAATCCCAGTACCAAAAGAAAAAAACAGTAGCTAACTCTTATTTCACAGATGAGGAAATTGAAATTGTCTAAGACTCACCAAAAGTCACTTGGCTAACAAGCAACAGAAATGTGGGCACTAAACAAGAAGTTGAGAGATACTTCCATAAGTATATAGGTACAAATTTGTGTGTGTGTGTGTATGTGTGTGACTTTGTTGATATCTGTGCTATTTGTTTTATTTGCTTTTGCTTGTTTCTTGATTCTTGGCTATATTTAAGCTCAGTGAAGTCTGAGATAATATTTCTACATTAGGATTTGTCTATATAATTCAGCCTATAAAAGTAAAACATACTATCTAAATGAAATGAAGTAGTCATATAATAGATGTGGGATATAAATCTGAAATCTCAGAATCACAGATAGTATCATCTAGGATCTTGGGCAGAATCTACAACATAATGGGTACTTTTTATTATAAATGTTTATTATAATGATAACTACATACTACAACAAATCATTTTTTGAGTGCTTATTACATCTACTACTATACTAATACATTATAATATTCCTGTGAGATATTTATTTATACCTTATTTTATAGATGGGCAAATTAAGATGCAGTGCCCAAGTTCAGAGAGCTAACAAATGGGAAGCCAGAATTTAAACCCCAGTCTAAAGACCATGAAGTCAGTACTCTTAAATTATCACATCCACAGTGTCTCTAGATATAGTAGCTATCACTCATTAAGGGCTTACCATGTTGGTTGGTATGTTAAATACATCAGTCTATTTTCATAACAACCCTTTTTGGTTGATATTATCTTCTCTGCTTTCATAGATGTACTATCATTGAATGATATTTAATAGTTTTAGGAACAACTCACCTAACCAGAAGAAATAAACAGATGTACAAAAAATAAATGTACTTCAGTAAAACTTCTGATAGCCTATCAATCAAAAGACTCAATTCTCCTCTTTCCCTCTCCCTTCCTTCACTTTGTCTTAATAAGACATGGCTCCAAAGAATATTGGTTAGTTCACTTGTAAAATCTCCAAATAATAAAAAAATAAGTATAATTCAATTAATGGTTATTCAACAACTATCAATTCCAATCTCTAGTAGATTTATATGCGGATTCATGAAGGTAAAAGAAAAAATTGAAGAGAGATAAATAAGACAGTGGTACATAATATGTCTATCTGTATTCTACAAAAAAATCATTGCAGTAGCAGTCTAGGGAATATAGTGAAAGGAGTAAAACTAGAAGCTAAACCAGCTCTAATGCAAGAAATGAAGTCTGAACAGAGAGAGCAGTAGAGGGAATGAGGAATGGCAGCTTGGGCCAAGCAAGAACAAAATGGCCAAGAGCTATTTCAGGTATAAGTTTGAAGCATAATGAAAATGAGAGACTATTACATGTGGAGAGTGATGACTTGGATTGTGAGCTTTGACTGCCTCAGGGCTGCGTTTGTGCTGGAAACTTCCCATGCAAAGGTGCAGTTCCAGATTACCGGGTTACTATAGTGACACCTGGCCTGCCGAAACCCTGTACAAAGGTATGGAGTTATATCAGTCTGGATCTTGAGCTCAGGCACCAGCTCCTGGGGAAATAGAATTCTGAGCTTAACAAGATAACCCTAATGTCTCACCAGTGCTGCATCCTTCAGTCTGCCCGCTTTGCAGAAACTTTCCCAACTTTTTGATGATAAAACCTATATAATAAATGTGCTAATTTAGCTCTGGGTCATGTTCCTCCATCAGAGACGGTGTCCTACCTGGTCCCAGCTTTCTCTCTATACAGAAGTTTGTCTTTTTCAATCCCTTACCAGTTTCAGAATTAATGGCCATGCTGGTCATGGTAACTCCACAACTCATAAAACAAATAAAATGAACAATGCAAAATTAGTTATTGTAATTACTACATAAAATGTTTATGCTGTTTACAATATTGAGCTTACTGAGTTTCAATTCATTATCAGCCTCTGCCTAGAGTCAAGTCTACTATTTACTATTCCAGATTTATGTATTTTAAATTCTCCCCATGAATTCTTAAAATACTTTTTTCTAGGTTAAAGCTAGAATATCTCATTATCTTGAAGTCTCTCAACTAAAATATTTTAAATTGACTTTCTATGTATGCAAAATCCACCAATGCATTCAGTTCTATGATGGATATAAAAACTACTTTTTTTAAAGAGTGGATAGCTTCCTGAGATACTAAGCAAAGGACTGGTGAACAAATATACAGCTATATGTTTTAAGTTAAAATTTAAAACTTTAAGATACCTCACTTTGCCAGCTTTTAAAATAACTGACCTAAACTACCAGTCAAGGGCGTATCATATATGACACCTCAACTATATTTAGAATCCACAAAAGAAATTATTTTAGTCTTGTTATTTGGTACAGATATTTCCTTTTTTATATTTTTATTCACAGTTCCTTATTAGGATGCTGGGTTACCAAATCAAAAGTGCTAACCTTACATCCTTCTATTAGGATGTGAAAAGTCAGCTACTTTCAAGGTGTGAACTTCCCTCCCAAACTAAATAGCAGCAGCCCAAGTGGAATTACTTTCTTTAAATGACATAAATCATACCTTTCAAAGGAAATGAGGAAATAAGGATGTGAATTTTGAAATAAAATTCTGTCACCAAAAAAAGTCAGAATGCAATTGATCTTAGTGATAGCTGATAATTAAGCCTACAGATATTAGTCTGGAAGCTCAGAAATAACAGTGTTAATTACCATCAGGAAGGCCAGATGGCATTAGAGATTTTATTCACTTATTTTGCAACACAGAAAAAGATGAAACTGCATCAAGAGATTATGCTTCTATAGTAAAATACTACTTTTGGAATGCATACTTGATGCAGTTACAGTTTTGCAACCAATTAAGAATCTTGCTGGGTTTTTTTGTTTGTTTGTTTTGTATCCTGGATTGGACACAGTAGTGTTAACCACTGAGTCACATTTCCAGCCCTTTTTTTAATATTTTATTTTAAAACAGGTCATTGGTAAGTTGCTGAGACTGGCTTTGAATTCATGATCCTCCTGTCTCAGCCTTCCTCCCCAACTACTGGGATTATAGGTATGTGCCACCATGCCTGGCTCTTGCCATTCTTTAATAAAAAACATGTGAATCAAAATCAAATTAATTTAAATATAAAAGGCTGGGAAGGAAAGTACCAATGCCACAGGACAGAAGCAGAAA